TGGCCCATAAATTTTTGCACACATTAGTCTCTCCTAAATTTTCTTTCATCAATCATTGTTTTGCCATTTTCTGGCACAAGTAGACATGTCTTAATCATCGTTGGATTTAATAATAAATTCAATAGTTATTTTTGGAAAAAATGTATCTTGATATAGTGATTTTTTTAAATATTTGTGGTTAAAAAAATTGAATTTACGCGTAATATTATTTTATTAGAGAATGTATGATTGAAAATAAAAATGTATTTCGGTTAAAATGGAGCCCAAAAAGGCTAAACTTCGTGAGTGTATCATGTCATGCATGTGAAGACACATACACATGGCGGCCACTGCTTTGGTCATGATCCCTTCATGAATGCCACTACCATGTGCCAGTGGCAGCTTACGAGTGTGCTTTATGCAAGGACTCCCCAATATAAAATATTTTATAAAGGAGTGATAAAAATTAGGTTTATTAATTGAAAGCTGGCTATAAACTTGGGCAGATTTAACTGAAAGCCCTAGTCTTTTGCTCTTTTCTCTGTTTTTGTAGGACTGAACCCTCTTCAAGAGATATCTCAACTCAGGTTAGTTTGTTCAGTCACAGTTTCAGTAATCTGCTCCTGATCCGATGTTTTTATATATTTTCTTGTGAAGACATTAAGGGTTTAATGAATCTTGTATATTTTGTGTTTTTTGCGTGAAAAAAAGCACTAATTTTATGTGGGTTTCTTGTATATTCAAGAAAAATAGTCTTAGATGTTTTGGAAAATGGTTAGTGGCTCGAAAACTTGTTTGAGGTCCTTTATATGGAGATGTGTAACAGATATAGACAGGGGCCCTAAGTAAAAATGAAAGAATCCCTTTGAAATTTGCAGTTTTAAGCAAGCATGTTAAACTGTACTGTAACAGTATCAGTTCTATTTACTTCTTAGTAAGTGTCTTAGATTTGGTGATTATATGGGTGATAGTTCTTAGAAAAAAATTACTTTTATGAATCATTTGTGGAACATATAGATACCCTTCTGTTTATCTATCGATGCAGTTTACATGTAGAGAAGTCTGCTTTACATGCCAAAAGAAGGGCTGTTTCTGAGGAGATAATTAGTTTATACTCAACAATTAAGCTCCATACTTCTGATTTCCAAAATGAATTTTACCTTGAATACTAGTAGAGTGGTTTCGACATTAATTTTTTGGGTTATTTTTCTTTATAAAACATTTGCATCTTAATTCTTTGGCCAAACTTCGATTTCGTTAGTCAACACTTCGCAAACAATGCATTAAATTGGCTTGTGTACATAGTAGTTTCAGGATAAATGTGCTGGCATATGATTAAACTTTTGTGTCTTTGTATATAGAAAAGCTGCTCTGTTCACTATTCTTTGAGCAGAACAGCTGCTGAGTTAACTAGATGAACTTTGATGTTTTCTGATCTTCAACGTGAACTTCTTTCATTTTAGGCAGTATGCAAGGAGGAATTCGATCGATCTACTCACACGGAAGTGTATTCAAGAATGCTGTTCTACAACACGTGCGGCTGGTGAATCCAGCCACGCGGTCTCTTCTGTTTGCTCGTCATGAGTCAGCTCAAGCTGCTAGTATCGATGAGCAGGGTTTTGAAAGCACCATAATTTCTGACATTCTAAAAACCAAGGGGAAAAATGCTGACGGGTCCTGGCTTTGGTGCACAACAGACGACTCTGTGTATGATGCTGTGAAGTCTGTATGTACCATTGACAATTGATTCAATAGAAGCTCTCGTCTGAGTTTGACTAAATTCATATGTTCTTTATTAGTATATTTGATACATTGTTTTGTCAATGTGAGTAGAATCTAACATGATTATCTTGAAATTATCAACTGCAGATGACACAGCACAATGTTGGAGCATTGGTTGTCGTTAAACCTGGGGAGCAAGAGTCAATTGCTGGCATTATTACTGAAAGAGGTAAAGTTTAAATTCTTGGGTTCAAATTGAGAATCCTTAGATCATAGGTCGGACATATGTAATGCCCTTGTATAGCTAAATCTAAACTGTTGATCCCACCAAGTTGTTACTTAATAAGATTAGATTTTGTGTGGTATATGTATAATCCATGCATAAGTAATGAACTACTCACTTTTATCCCTGAAAACAGCTCAAAAATGTTAATTGTCCTTGTTCAGTGACCTATATTCTGGTAAATATTTGTTGCAGTCATTTCTCAGGTGCATTATTTTGAGATCGTGAATTTGGAGATCCGCAAAAGAAACTATAGATTGTAGATCGAACAGATTTTTTGCACGTGTCGAGTCTATGATGTATTCTTTGATGCTTGTGAGGTCATTCCAGATGATGCTTAAGGGTTGCAGTTCTTGAGCATTTCTACTGTTTCAAGAATTTTGCTTACAAGATTTTTCGATTTAATTACAAACTGATAATTGACCAAACTTCTATAAATTAAGCCTCCATTAAAGAATTTATAAAATGATTTAATTCATAAATAAATAGAAATGAGTTGTGGATAAATGGATAATACTTGTGGGTCCATTGGAATGTGTTGTTGACAATGAAATTTGACCATTTATAAATTAATTATTAGTTTGCCAAACGGATTATAAGCTGAAATAAGGTCCCTCAGAATTACTTACCTGGGAACTTATATAGCATTGGAGGATGCATCTTTGGTGTATGCAAGTGCCGATTCCCACAATTTTGTTTTGATGACGTTCTCTTAATGTTTTCCCAGATTACCTAAGGAAAATCATCGTACAAGGAAGATCGTCAAAGTCGACAAAAGTTGGGGACATTATGACTGAAGAGGTAATCCCAGCTAGTTCCTTCAAGAAAATCTCTGAAATTTAGTACTTTCACTTCCTAGTTAATGTTCTTATGGTCTTTCTTACAATGATGGTAAAAATGTGAGATTCTGAACTCTTATGGTTGGCTATTGTAGAACAAGCTTATCACGGTAACACCAAATACCAAAGTTTTGAAGGCAATGCAACTAATGACAGGTATACCTGCTACTCATGCAGATAAAGTGAATCGAATGCAGCAACTGCAATTGATTATTGGTGTTAAGGGAAAATTAGAATGTAATTTTCAACTCTGATTTGCAGATAACCGTATTAGACACATTCCGGTGATTAATGATAGTGGTATGATTGGCATGGTTTCCATTGGAGATGTGGTTCGCGCTGTGGTGAGCGAGTATCGGGAGGAGTTGAACCGCTTGAACGCCTTTATACAGGGAGGATACTGAGTGCTGATGACAATGAAAAACAGATTGATCAGATAAACGTGTGCTGTTTGGAAATCTCGAGTTCTGTAAATATTGTGTGGTATGCGTCTCATGGATTGTCTGTTATGTTGTTATCCTTAAGAAGATGAAGCTTGTCGTTGGGAATAAAATGCACTCTTTAACAATGTTCGTTAATGTTATTTTGGCTTATGAACCGGCTTATGATAATCGTGTTTTTCTTTTAAATTATATTTGGTTCATCATTTTTTGTTGACAAAGTTTACGAAAGGTGAGAAAATTCGTGCTTTATAGTTTTGGGGGCATTAGGTACTTTAAAAACCATCCAAACCTAGTGTATGCATTTTTCAATTGACTAAATCAGGATTTTTTTTAACAATAATTTAGTAAAATAAATTTAAATTATATGTAAAAAAATTGCTTATAAATAAAAAATACAGTAATTAAAAATTTATATATAATGTACTTATAACTAAAAAATTAGTTATAAGTTAAATTTTTTTCCTAGGTAAAATATTCTTCATAACTTAAAATATACTAATAAAGTAAAAAATTACTTATAAGTATAAAAAATTATGAGTAAAAATTTTACTAATGTGTAAAAATTAGTTACCAAGGAAAATTTAATTATATAAATATTTCATTTTTTTAAGTAAAAATGAACTTATATGGAAAAAAAACTGCTTGCGTGTGAATCCCATTAATGAATAGAATTTTTTCATACAAAGAATTATAAATTAAAATTTTATGTACATATTTACTTCAAATGATTTACATAAAGCATGTTTGAGTCCCATTTTTTTTGGAAATAATGTATTTTGGAATAGTATTTTGATGGAGAATGTTTAGTTAAAAAATAAAGAAAAATTCTAAATTCGTGTATAATATTAATTTTTTGAAAAATGTGTAATTAAAAAGAAGAGAGAAATTTTTTTTACAAAAAAATAAAATAAAAATGAGAATCAAATACGAGCATAGTCAGAAAAAGGGATCAATAGTCTTTCTCTAGGATCTACCTTTCTGCATATGGGCATGTATATAATTTTATTTTATTTTATTTAAAAAAAAAACTTCTAAACATGTTGGATAATAAGCTCATTAAATTCAGGATCTTCCGCCGTGCAAATTTTCCAGAAAACAAACTCACAGGCACGTAGGTTTATGGCCAGTCCAAATATTCCAAATCCATTAGCTTTTGGGTGGAATTGCCATAATATGGTCATTCTTCTTAGCAGGAATTATTATAGTAGGATAATGGTTAGGAGGATTTGATAGGCATGATGATATTATGATTTTCTAGGTTTAGTCAAGGCTTAACTCAAGCTCGTTTTAAATATGTGAGATACTATTCTATATCTTGTTTAAGCTTTATCCCTTCTCCGGTTTTGTTTTGTTTTTTCATTACCAATGGAATATCCTTCACTATTTTATTAAAAATAAAATGAAACGATAAGCTAAACAAGCAAATATTTGGCAAATAATCATATAAATTGGTAGAGGAATGGAAGCACATCTTGCATCTTCTATGATTCCTTCGACCAGCCTTTAAAATGAGAAGTAGGTCTTCAGCAAGGAGATATTGCATGGCTCTTCAACTTTGGCAAACTTGGTCTCAAAAGCTTATACAAAGACCTATAAGTATGAATTGGATTATTTTAAAAAATCGTTATTAAAAATTTCCCATAAATCGGACCCTCATAAATACCCAAATCAGTACTTTAAAAACCCCATCATAACCTGCTTAAAACAAAATAAAGTAGATATTTTGTCAATTTAAATAAGAAAAAAAAGATTATTATGAAAATAATATCACCAAGGATTGTTTGAAAAAGTTTCTGATAAAAATTTAGCTGATTTTGATTAAAGTTGATAAATTGCGTATTTGAAAAATTAATAAACATTTATGTATTTTATGAAATATGTGATTAAAATAAATTTTTCACTTTTTTACCTCAAATTGTTACTAACTTTTTATGCTATCCCAAACAAGCACCAAGTCATAGAGAAAAAGAGATTTGATTATTTAATTTTCAATAAACAGTAGGTCCCGCATGTTTATATGTCCTCTTAATTCCAATTGATGAAATTAACTAGTGAGGGAGACTTAGGTTTGTGGTAGGGGGCCAGGCTGCCAAGCCCTTATATCTCTGAAAAATGCTCCTTGTACAATAGAGTGTACATTCTAGTGTACACCCTTCTTACATGAGAGGGAATCCACACTGATCAAAAAATTTGTGGATCCCCTCGTATGTGAAGGGGCTGTATAAAAGAGTGTGAAACTCTAGCAAACATGTAGCATCCTTCTATATCTCTATCGTCAGTTGTCATATTATCGAAATTTGTGATATATATAATCAATATTTTGTGCTTGTTGGGAATAACTTAAAAAGTTATCGAAATTTTGAGATTAAAATCAACAATTAATTTTTACTGTATTGACAAATGTATTTTATATGCTTATCTAGACCTCTAAGCTTTATTAGGGGCGGAGCTAGAAAATTTTTCCAGTGTTGGCACAAATTTTTTATTAAGACAAGCATTTCTTCCAATTTTTCCCGAAGTGCAGGTTTTCCAATTTTATGGTCAATGTGCAGGTTTTCTCCCAAAGTTGACTACATGGCTCCGCCCATGAGCTTTATTACCTTAATTGTAGGAAACATCCCAACTTGGATGTAATTGGTGCGGAGAAAGGCTTTTGAGCTTAATTGGAGTTAATTCAGAGTAATCAAAGATCATCCGAATTGCATAAAATCACTATGAAGCATTAATATAGCAGTTAGAGGTAATCACAAGTTTTGGGAGTCAAATACAATATTTAAAAAGTCCGAGAACTCAATTAAAAACTTTGGAAACTTGAAACGGATCAATTACAAATGGTTGTAGAGGATAATGATTGAATTATAAAGAATTAAAAAGATGAATAACCAAAGATTAGAATCGAAAAAGATTCGAGCAGAACCAAATGAGGAAAGTCATTGACCAACTTGAATGGAAGGCAAACACCAGTACCTTGTGATCGCAATGAGGACCCCATGCGATAGCAAGGTCGATCATTTTTCCACTGGCAAGTTCAATAATATTGTGCGATCGCAAGACGATATATTGTATGATAACATGGTGATTTTGGGGCAAGTCAAATTTTGATTTCTAGTTTGTTTCAACTACTTGGAAAGCAATTGGGGCACAAGTTTTGACCTAGCTTTGGAAGATATATAATATTCATCTATCAGTCAAAAGGGAAGTCTAAGAGAAGCTTTTGGATAAAAGAAGACATATTCTTTACAAGTTTTAGATAAGCCTTTGATATAAAACTCATAATCTTACATCAAATTCATACGTATTTGCTTATATCTTGAAGAAGAGGTAGATTTAAGAAGATTGATCAAAATGTTTTGAAGTGGTTCAAGATTTCAAGTTTATTTTTAATTTTCTTTCTGCACTTCAATTGCGAGTGATGTTGTACAAATCTCATTTGTGTGTTTGTAATCATATGATTCTCGACTAATTGTACAGACAATATGATAAAAACAAACCTGATATTTTGATCTTTAATATTAATTTTCAGATTTTGACATTAAATGTTTGTTCGATTTGAATGTTGGTTAAGATTTTAGTTAGGGATGGCAACGGGTCATGTTAGGGACCCGCCCCGCTGGGGGCTTGCCTCGTTTGCTGCCCTGTCTATTTTTTTTTTTTTTTTTTTTTGTGTTGAGAGAGAGAGAGAGAGAGAGAGAGAGAAATATATGGATAATAGTTGAGGTAATATAAAGCATCATGTTCTGGAGGGGGATTGTTTTAGTTATTAACTTCAATTATATACAAAGAAAGAATTGAAGAGAACATGAGTAAAGCATTCACTTATATAACATTCAGTATATAGTATCAATTATTTCTTACATATATAAATTTTAAGCTAAAATAATGTAGTTATATATACCCATTACCTTGGGTGCATTTCTCACTAATATTTCATTAGGCTCTGCATCCTTCAAGAATCAAGATGGTTAGCTAATTTGATCCCGCACCAATTTCTTCTTGCCAAAAATAAAATTATTTTTGATTTTTTTTTAACGGGTGGGTTCGGGGAGGGGGTGGGGCCACTCTTGAGACAGGGTGGCAAGCCCCGCGCCATCACCCTTTAGTGCTATTCATATATTTGTATATTTCATTTAAAAAAAAATAGGAACATTGATATTCAAATTTGAACGAGTCTTGCCAAATTCTTGGTTTACTATTAAAATGGAAGAATCTAGAGGGATTCAAGGTCATATGATTTTGCATTACTTGATTATTTGTAAACATTTCCCATTTAGTTAATTAGTTTGATAATTAGATTAGCTATATGTTTAATTATCAATTATAAATTTTCATCAATTTTTCTATTTGATTATAGTTAGTTTTAATTATAAATTTAGCCCCTGTTTGGGTTATATTATTCAGGAAATTTGTAAAAAAAAATTTGACTTTTGCTTGTCCAGTTGGCCCCGCATGTGCGTGTTAGAGTTAAGAATTGTGGATTGATTTGATGGTTAACGGTCACATTTATTTTACAAATGATGAAAAAATATGGCTCCAACAGAGGCTTAATTAAGTACTCAATTCTCGTTCGATTGATGCTTGGATTCACATTCACTTTTTTACTTGTTATGATATCGTCTACTTTTGAAAATTTTCAATCACACATTTAATCAATTTTTTATTAAAATTTACTAAAAAAATTCAAAATGAGTCCCAAGTCCAAACTAAAATGAGTCCAGTATAGTCCTATAGCTCTTAGTGACATATGTTCGCGAAATATTTTCTTTCGATTTAAAACTATCGCAAGTGTACGGTTTGTTAACAAGTAATAAAGTGGATTAAATGAGTCCGAATATCGTCCCACAGAGATTGATTAGTTTAATTTTACCTATCGTTTCCTTAACCGAAACAATAGAAATTTTTGATATTTTCACTAACTAAATTATGATTTAATAACCTACTTATAAATATAAAGCCTAAATTAACTAAATTAAATGCGTGATTATAACTAAATGCAAGTTTTATAAAAATATGATAACGAAATGCGTATTAGGATCCCGAATCCCCTTTAATCCGAATTTTATAAAATTGACAACATGATTCAATTATGAAGACCAATATTCTTAATTTGTTTAACAATCTCTCTCGAGTAGAATTAAACATATTTTCACATGCGATCCGACTATATTTCTATGACGGATGTGAACATATAAAAATGCATTAAAGATTTATGAATACTTAAAGATCACGTAAAGCATAGCGGTATATTTCTATCCCTTATTGAACTTTACGACAATTAACATAATGTCTAACTTATTTTCCGTCTCTCGAGGGTAAAAGAAGCCACAAAGCTCATACAACTACTGCGCACATAATTGTAGAGAAAAAAAATCCATGCCAATCATTCAATAATTAAAAACATGTTTTAACGTCAAATTAATAAAATTCAAGATTAATGGTTCATAATATAAGGTTCATCGAAAATCCTAGCACATGAAAATCTAGCCTAACATAATGAGAAATAAAGAAAAACAATAATAAAAACCAAGGAAGAGCATCACCCAATTGATTCTTGAAGTGAAATCTTGAATCTTGAAGTGGATTGCCTTGTTTTTGCCTTATTCTTTCTCTCCAAATCCTCCAAAATTGTGTATAATCCCCCCTTCAATACGTTCTCCACTTTCTAGACGTCTTTTGGTATTTATATCGCTTGAAACTTAGGTTACCAAAAGAGTTTCAGTCGTATAAGGAAACTGCAGAATCGGCCTGAAATTGTTCTATGCGACCGCATAGTACATTTCTATGCTGTCGTATATAGTAAAGAAATTTGAGAAAAAAATTCTTGGGAGGCTTCTATGCGACCGCATAGTTATGCGATTCTTTTCGGCGGACAGCTTTTAGTATTTTGATCATACATTTTTCTCCTGAACTCCGATTGAAGTGATTCAAAATGCATTGGGAAGAAAATTCAAAGATCTACACTTTTGATAGAAATAGGCTTCCTCAAATTCTGATTTTTACTATACCAAAAATGGATCTTAAGTAGAGACTAAAAATCACGAGCATAGCTTTTTCGCCTGAAAGTTGATAGTTGATAATACTTTGATCATATTTCACCTGTCAACTCCTTTCCTCATCCAATTGACCTCTAACACTCTTGAATCTTCATTCCATTTCCCGTCTCATCTATGAATTATTTGCAACTTGGTCCCCGAGCTTTCAGTTTGATTCATTTTGGTCCTTTTTCGGCTCTTTTCTCCTGAATTACACAATTTCCATAGAAACACCTACATTGCATGAATTCAACGAAATTAAGCCACAATTTAAACATTTTGCTTGTAATTAAGTCATGTTAGTGATCTCAATAAGTGTGCAAAAATACACTTATCAACATATTTAGTCATCGTTTGACCCTCATTCTCCTTTTCATTCTTATTTTCAACCACACAATCTTGTACAAAATAATATTACACGTAAATAAAAAAATTTCGTTCTTTTTCAACCTTACATTAAAAAAAAAAAAAAAAACACTATCCAACCATTAAAATTTGGAAAGAATGGGGTTTACAATCTTGAATACAAGAATTCGACGAGAATGAAGAAAAGAAGTTGTTCTTATTCTTATCTTAAGACAAGAATTCGACAAGAATGAAGAAAATATAATAATTTTTCTTATTCTTATTCGATTAATTCTTTCTTGATTATTATCTATTTGTCTTATTTTTGACTTTATTGGATGCTTTTACACTTATTTTTCTCTATTTAAATGTGCTATTTGATAGCTTGATCAAAAAGTTTGTCTGTTATTCAAAGAAGAGCCGAATTGTACAATAATTGGTCATTTATTTTCATATTGCTCCAGTACGAGAGAGGAGACCCACCACTGTCTAAATTGATCGACTGACAGTTCGTTGAGGTTTATGAATTCGAATAATTGACATGTGCTTACTACTTTAAGACACAATAAATAATGAACAATTCACACTATTCATGTCATTCAAATTAAATTTGAGCAACCATGAAATTAAATTCAAATTTATTTATTTATATATTTATATTTTGACTAATTTTATTGTTTTTCTCCGGTTATGCAAATAAAAGATACGATAAGTTTTAAGTGAGATAAATAAGAGTTAGTAAAATAATTAGACCGATGTTATTGCTTGTCATAGGTCAGGCAGTCCCCCTTAAAATTTAAATTAACGTTCAACATTCATTGTAAAACTTCCGTGTTCTTGATTGAATATACTTCACGAGTCAACGAATTAAACCACTCCTTCCTAATTATATTTGACTACTTCATCTAATTATCTTAATTTTTTTCGCTTAATTTTAGGGATAACAGATGTGTCGAGCTGGTTTGTTTTGGACTCATGGACCGACTAGTTTATTTTCTTTAATTGTTGACTTTTTATAAAAAAAAATTAATATATAATATTTTGCTCGTGTATAATTTTAACTCCGTCTAGAGTAAAAGTAGTAGGTCACAAGTCTGAAAAAAAGAAGGATGGTGTCAAATTCCTCTTACCTTATTTCATTTGAATTTTTTAATTTATATGATTAGTTTCTTTAAAAAAATTAATCGAATCATGGCTCGTAGATGGTTCGGATCGACCATTGAGGCCCGCGAGTCAAATGACCAACTCGAACCTAATTAGTAATAATTATTTAAAACAATTTAGCCACAATATGAGGAAACTGCATAAAATTTAAAATTATTTTTTACAACACCTATTGAAAAAATGTGTTCCACAATATTGTTCCAGCTATTTGTTTGCTATCTATTCAAGAACCCACAGTTTCTCATTTCTTTCTTATAATTTTACCAATGAATTCATAGGCTCTCACACCGTTAATTTCTTCACTCATACTCCAACTTCTAGAATTTTCTAATTGCCACCCATTATTGTAGTAATCTGTCACTTGAAAATTTCCCTCTATATACCTGTATATTTTCGGAGATAGACGAAACCATAAATACCTTTGACCTTCACTGTAAAACTGTTCTGCTACCTCTTTGAGCTGTTGATACTTATTGAAACTTTGCCTTGGTAACATAGTATTGTTGTGACCTTGTAATTCTATATACACACAGGCAAATTCATTTATGGGCCTATTTTTATTTTATTTTTTTATTTTTTCTCGTTTATAGTTAACTGATTTGGTTTTTATTCTACATAATCTTGTGGGAACTGTGTGCAGAGCAGTGGGTGTGGAGTATGGAAGCATCAATTGGGTTAATAGACGTCGAGGGGCATGCTTCTCGAAGCAAAGAATTGCTCTGGTTGTCTTCTATTTTTGCTGGTATCATCATGTGCAAAACGGTGAGTATGAATTCCTTTTTTGTTGTATTAAGCTCTTCGCTGTGTTTATATTTTGCGAGTGAAATTCCATTCTACGCCCTTGCGAAATTTTCACATGAAATGGGAAACAGGATTTTTCTTTTCCCCATAGAGGTTTGTATAGTATAGAAGGAATTTCACTGGGGGTAATTTGGTACCGAAACTGAAGAGGTAAAATGATTTTTTTATGTTAGGCAGCAATTTGTCAAATTCAAAAAATTTCCGGCACTCAATTTTAGCTACATTCCATCCTATCTGGTTGTTGTAAGGTTGAGTTGAGGAGAGGGGGAGATTGTGGTAGATTTATCTGGAAAGTTTGAGGGTTAATAATTACTTCTACAGGCATGTTTTTTAAGGCCGAGAACCCTCGACAGATTCAACAAATTACACCCACTAGCATCACCTTCTAACATTCTTCTTCCGACTAAGAAAAGCAGCATCAATTCAAAGGGAAATCTACTACATCAGACGGAGATCTACGCCAACTATACAAGAATGGTCCCAAATTCGGGCTTAACAAGTGTAAAATTGGAACCGAATCTGGAGATCAACTACTACCCTACGTGAAGCTGCTTGCTTAGCCGGTGTATGATGGAACCTATGATCCAAGGGAGCACTTGGAACTAATTGATATTGCCATGTTGCCGTATCACATTTCTGATTCCATCATGTGTATGATTTTCTTGACCACCCTAAAAATTCCCTTAACCATTATTTTTCCAACTTCCCCGCCAGTCGATCGGTAAATTTGCAGATATTAGCAACCATTTCCTCGTGCAATTAGCCGGTGCTAGCGAAATAAGACATTTGGTTTGCTAAATGCAAGGGAAGAAGAAAGGAATCCCCTACGCAATTACATCCTAAGGTTCAACAAATAGGCTTTGGATGTTCTAGATTTCAACTTGAAATTGCTGTCAGCCATCTTGACCAATATATTAAGGTGAGGCTGATTTTCAATCTTTCTGATCAATCTCCACCCACAGATGTGACATGGGCTTGAAAATGCTGTCAACCAAGCAGATAAGCATGTAGAAGAAGCCGAGAAAGTAAGGGTGAGAATGAGCAAAACTTTTGTAGGATCAGAACAAAAGACACAAGGAGTACTTCGAAGCACACTTCAAAGTTTGTGCGAGATGACATATATGTGCCCTTACAGAGCAGAGACATCTTTGCTTAAGAGCCTATGGATATGTGCAGGATTGATCCGACTGTGACATCCCATCATTTCTTTGACAACCCATAGAAAAGGCCAATCGAATAGAAGATAAGGGTTGTATGGCCAGAAAGGCCAAAGACGATGGAGCAAAAAGTTGATAAGCTATTGGAAGCAAACCATAAAATTGAGGGCATGTATCGTGAATGGTTTGCCAATGTGGTCCTTGTGCCAAAGGATTGGAGAGCATAGGCAATGTGTATAGGCTTCACCGATTTGAGGGTGAATGCTTAAAAAGGCTACAATCACATGAGGACGTGCATCAAGCTTCCAACATAATGAGGAGATATAGAATGGAACAACCCTTGGAGGAGGCAAGATGCAGCCCAACTAGTTGCGAAGTGGCAAGGGTCACCACGTGGTGGGGTTGGCGAAGGACTCCTTAAAGGGGCCAAACAGTGGCCTACCTCGTGGCTCAGTGATAAGCAAATTTGGCCCCCTTAGGTTGATACCTCCAGAAGGTACTATTTGGAGGTCAAAGTGGATCCAGTTTCAGAGAATCCCCATCTGTATGGTGGCCTTCTGATGTTGTTCATAACTGTTCCCTAGATGGGGGTTGAGGGCTGACCCTGTTATCCGTGGTGTTGTGATCCTTAATTTGGTTACACATCATCCTTTTATACACTTTTAAAAAAAAAATAAAATATTTTCACCCTTCTATTGATGCTGAATGAAAAATTGCATTTGGAAAATCTTACGACTCCACAGCATACGTTGGTAATTTTTGATCCCTTACCTTTTGAAGATGTCCCATTTTTCTGTTGAAGGTTTATGAATTAACAGGTGTGGTTAGCCCTATAATATTCAAGGGATACAGCAAACTCGGCAACAAGGTGAAACTTGAATGGAACAACCGGTAATTTGTTTTTCTCATGTACATCTATGCTTTTTATTAAATTAATAGTTCCCTGGTTTACTTACACCATTTCATGTCTAGACTAATGATGTTTTTGTAATCGCAGGGGGTTCTCTACTTTTCATGCCATTATTGTGGCAGCTGGTTCTCTATATCTCTTGCTTGCATCAAATCTATTTGATGAATCTAATGATGAGTTGATTGTCAATAGAAGATCAACTTTATCAGACACCATACTGGGGGTATGTTAGTATTCCAACAGCAATGTCTCGAAGTTATTTTGGAATAATTAATATTAATTTTATTAATTTTGTATCTTATTGTTATTATCAAATATTCATGATGCTTAATTATCGAATAAAGAGAGTAGTTCCTTAAACTTCAAACGTTGCTCATTTTCTTGACAGAACTAATACTGAAAATTCAGTACCCTCCTTAACTTATGACATACTGACGTTTAAAAGAAGATCACTTAGATGCTCTTTTATACCATTTTATGGGAAATCAAAACAATTAAATTTACGCTTTTTGGACCTTTGTTTATCATATATATTGAGGAATACATCTAACTTGATTCCTCCTCCTTTTTTTTTTTTTTTTTTAAATAATGATGCAGGTATCCATTGGTTACTTTCTAACAGACTTGGCAATGATTATTTATAACTTTCCGGCTTTAGGTGGCATGGAGTATGTAAGTACAGTGAAACAAAATACTTTAACCTACTATTAGGAAGAAGTTAGATTTATTTGACCTGGTAATTAATCTTGATTATAATTTATACCTACATTTTGATTTTGATTGTCTAGATACTTTCTTGCCTATTTATTCTGTATACGTTTGGGAGAAATTAGAATTACAACATTTTGTGTCTTTCTTCCTAGTCATATTTTAGGATTCAGGTTCTTGCTTCATCATTGGTGTTACTTGGAATTTGTGTTATAAATAAATATCATTTTTCAATTTGTTTCGTGGCTGTTTTGTATGAATACTTCAACTAGGGTGGCATGACTGCGTCCAATGCGCCCCGAACTTTCTACAATGGTCATTTTTCTTTCTTTATTAGAAATATCATATATTTTGAACTCAAAGTTGTTATTAAGTAACAAATAGGTACTCATTTAAAAGATTTCAAATATAAAAATTAATATAAGCATGAAATTAAATTTATACTATATAAATGAAGAATTCTAAAGAATTTAATTAACATGTCGATAATGTATTGTGTTAGTACTTTTTTGAAAAATTGCTGACATTCTAACACGAACTTTTTGCCCACTTTATATTTATTTTTAAAATTTAGATTATTTTTTCAATTTTAAAAATTATAAAATTAGCACAATATCCAATTGTTGTATTTTTTAATGTAAATAATGTCTTAAGTGTAATCTCAATGTAAATGGAAAATTCATTTGTTAGGTTTTGCACCATGGACTCTCTATGTTCTCAATTATTCAATCACTTTTGAGCGGTCAAGCACTAATTTACATACTGATGGTTCTCTTTTCTGAGAGCACAACTCCCTTTGTTAATCTAAGATGGTAAGCCGACACTGATGAAATCATTTATTTTCTTTCCCTTTCCCATCTCCTTGCATCCGATATTTACGCTGTTAGTATATGTGCAGGTATCTTGATGTTGCTGGTCAGAAGTTGTCCAAACTGTACATCTTCAATGGTGTGGCTTTGTTCTTGGGGTGGCTGGTATGGTGATTCTATTCTAGTTCAGAAAATGTTTTTCTTCTTGTTTGTGGCTGTGTGGTGCATATTGACAATTGAAAATGGTCAGTTAAGTGCATGTGAACATTTCTTTTTGTGTTATCTTATTTTTCAATCACATAACATATAAATTTAGGAGATAATTTGCTCAGTATTTAAAACCGATGGAGATGATTATGTTGTTTTGAAACTGTGAGGGCATAATAGGCAATTTGCCCTCAGAATATCAGCCACCTAACCCTCTGAATATTATGCAAAATGAAAAAGAGTATTTTTGTTTTCTCCCCATCAAAGATGTATATTGTATTTTTAAATTATTGCATCTCCTCTCGAGCATTAAGTAGGGATGGCAGTGGGGCGGGGGCCCTGCCTCGCCAAAACGACGCCCCGCCCCGCACCCCGCCCCGTTTAAGGCGGGGGTCTGCCCCGTTTCTTGCCCCGTATAATTTTTTTTTTTTTATTAATAAAGTTAATGTCTAAAATAAACATTCGAAAGTCGAAACAAACACTGTCCAAAAAAAAAAGAACAATTGCAATTAAAATTACATTGTCATTGTACTAAAATTCATTTTTTGATTCAAAATTTGTCATTTTTCAGACTTCATGAATTCTTTCATCAACAGAAGTAGAGATCACACAAGATGGAGATCACACAAGATGGATCCTGAAAAATAAAAGAATATTGTAATCAATATCATTATAATAACTACGATTAAAATTTACATTATCTAATAAAGAAAATTACCTCTTCATCAACATCCTCATCATTCATCTTGAAGCAAGATCCAAAATATGCAGACGGCACAGAATTCACTATTAATAAAGTAAAATAATTAGTAATAAGAAAATAAATAACATGAACAACAGAAAAACAAATGTTTATATATATCTTACCGTGAATATCGGTCCATAACCAATCTTGAGCACACATTAAAGCTTCCAAAGTTTTGGGATGAAGCCTATTTCTGTGTGGACTAACAAATCTACCACTAGTACTGAAAGCAGATTCAGATGCCACAGTAGATATCGGGATGGCCAAAATATCTTTTGCAATTTGAGATAAAGTCGGATATTTGGTTGCATTTACTTTCCACCATGTCAATATATCGAAATCATCTGACCGAGGCAATATAGGCTCATCCAAGAACGTATCAAGCTCAGTTTTCACATTACTAGGAGCTCCAACATCGGAAACAAATCTATAAAAACCCGCCATGCGATCTGATTTATTATTAGCACTTGACGTCTCGGTTTGACAAGAAGAAGTAGAAGACTGAGCTACATACCTACTTGAATCATTCTTTTTCTGATAATCACGCACCAACTTGCCACAAATTTGATAAATTTTTTCAATCTCACTTGCAGCGTTGTGATTAAAAATATGAGGATAATAATACTTAACTAACATCATCTTATTCCTTGGATCCAACACTATTGCTAAAGCTAAAACTCCATGAATATCGCTCCAATACTTGTTAAACTTTTCCATCATACTGTTTGCCATCATTTGAACTTCCACGTAAGGAGATTCAAGCCACTCATACAACGACAATTTGATATCACAAACATTTGCAAAGAAGAGATTAGTAGTTGGATATGCTGTTCCTGAAAACAATTCAGTAACCTCAAAAAAAACCTTTAACTTCCCACATATTTCTTCAGCCAAATCCCAATCACCATCACTAGGCAAACATTTATATTGTGACTCCCTCTGCTTCAAACGAGGAAAAACATCCTTATAACTCAAAGCCGTGTGAAGCATAAGGTATGTGGAATTCCACCTTGTTTTACAATCAAGAGCCAATTTTTTCTCACAATCAATTTTCAATTGACGTGCAAAGAGCTCAAATTTTTCATATCTCTTTGGCGTGGCTGTCCAATAAGCAACACTATCACGAATTTTCTCAACACTATCACCAATAATCTCTAACCCATCCTTCACAATAAGATTTAATATATGTGCACAGCATTTCATATGAAAAAAATTCACCATTCAATACAAGAGAACGAGTACAGAGCTGACTTAACACGATATTGATCATAGCATCATTTGTAGTGCAATTATCTACCGTCAAAGTTAATAACTTATGATCAATAATCCAGTCCAGCAAGCTGCACAATAGAGTTTCCGAAAGCACGTCAGCAGTGTGTGGGCAAGGCACATATATAAACCTGAGTTCATTCAAGAACAAATTAAATCAACTAAAAAAATATAATTTTAGTAAATTATGAAAAGAAGTGAATGTAAGTATGTAATTTTTTACTGTACCTCATGATTCGACTCTGTAGTTTCCAAGCATCATCTACGAAATGAGCAGTGATAACCATAAATCCTTTCTTTTGATTCGAAGAGGTCCACATATCGGTAGTTATTGAAATTCGACTCTCAATCTTCTCAAGTGCAATCATATTTTTTGCTTTCTCGTATTCATAAATTTTCAAAATGTCGCTCTTCAAAGTGTTGCGAGAAGGAACCTTAAACAATGGTTGCAGATCGTGCAAGAACTCTCGAAATCCAATGTGATCGACCATAGACAAAGAATACTCATGTAAAATCACCATTTTAGCCAGACTGTACCTACATTTATCTGGATCGAAAGAGTAAGTACCCATTATGACCTTGCCACTGGCGACGTCCTTTTTGAAATTTAATGTTGTTTGGCAAGTTTTACTTTTATCCTGATGACGAAAAACACATCTCTTCAAATGATCATGCAAATGCTTTGTACCATTTTTTGTGTCACCCCCTAACTGTTTCTTGCAATAATTGCATATAGCCTTCCATTTCTCATTAATTTTTTGTCTTTTGTAGTGCTTCCAAACAGATGAAGTTAATTTCCTCTTTCCCAAAGATACTCCAACTTTACACTCCTCGTCACTTAGGTTTATCGGTCTTTCATCTGGATCAACTGGATCTTCTGACGGGACATTGCTCATCGGTACATCACTCATGCTATCTCTCTTCAAATGATCATGCAAATGCTTTGTACCATTTTTTGTGTCACCCCCTAACTGTTTCTTGCAATAATTGCATATAGCCTTCCATTTCTCATTAATTTTTTGTCTTTTGTAGTGCTTCCAAACAGATGAAGTTAATTTCCTCTTTCCCAAAGATACTCCAACTTTACACTCCTCGTCACTTAGGTTTATCGGTCTTTCATCTGGATCAACTGGATCTTCTGGCGGGACATTGCTCATCGGTACATCACTCATGCTATCTTCCTCGCGTATTGGTCCTAATCCAACACTTCCAACACTACTTGGGATAGACATCTGTGCAAATAACAAATGACATTAAACACAATTTGCCCAACTATAGGATGATAAGAATTTGTTGAGTGGTATAGTTATAGTTATAGTGCAAATAACAAATGACATTAAACACAATTTGCCCAACTTCAGAAAATCGAGTTTCTGATCTAGCATGGTGCATTTAGACCCTGCAGCTATCATGCCCAACACCAGACACCAAGTTTGTGCTACCTAAAAATATTCAAATTCAGCATGTAGTTTGTCTGATGAAATGTCTAGCTCGTAATTTTCTATTTTTGCATTATCAACTTCTGATGGTTTAGAGGGTTTGATTTGCACATTATCTAAAGGATGTTTTTAAAATTCGATCTCCATCACTTTGCACAACTGCAGGAGCAGGAAATGTAGTAGCTATTGGAGCATTTGTTGGAGGCTTCTTCAATGAATAACTGGAACCACAACTTCATTATATATTGACCCTAATATTGATAATTCACTTCATGATTTATCAGTTGTCATCTTAATAAGGTAGTATCCTCATCCTTAGGGGGGAGGATAAAATTCTAGACAAAGGAACCAAAAATTCAAATAATAACTTAATTACAAGATGTATTTATTAACCTAAAAGAGATTAACCAAATCTCACCTATAAATACTCCAAATCATGTTGACGTTGTTAACGAATCAGTAAATTTATAGCATGCATAGAATGTGATAAAAATTCTCAAAAGAAAAAAGGACCAAATATTAAAGAGGTCCAATGCCATGCCTGATCTTCATCTATACACAAAATTAAGTGATAGAATTTTATATTCATTTCCCCATGCGAATTTTAATAAATTTACATGTAAAGGGGGAGTTATGAGTATCAAAGAACAATCATACCAACACATCTGGACCTTTTATGGTTCAAGCTTTGTCTATTGATCCTCTCCTATTAGCTTTTTTAAGTTCGCATTTTCATCATTGTCAATTTTGCTCCTTTAAACTATATCGACTTGAACTTGTGATCCTTTAAATTCATTTACGAGAGGGTGTTTAATTATTTATAAATTTGCAAGTCAAGTCTTAATTTAAAGACGTTAAATACAATGAGAATTGTTTCATTTCAATCCTTATTTTGGACACTCCCACAACGACCATAACAACCACTTAGGTAAGGTAGCCTCATCCTTACAAGGAGAAGGGGCCAAGTGATCATTATAAATGAAGAAACCTAAACCTTAGGTTAGCAACACAATTAGAATTATTACATTTTATCCATGCTTTAACAACCAAAGTCTATGGTGACCCATATTTCTGACTAGATAATTTTACAGAATAAGTCCTTACTGAAAGTATTCATTCCCAGATTTTCAACTCCACAATTAGTTGGGCAAATTGAAATTCATATTTCACACCATTCATACAAAACAACTATAGTATTTTAATAGCTATAACTATAACTATACCACTAAACAAAACAAGTTTTATTTGAGATGATTTTGTCTGCCACCTGGTTTTATTTTCATGGCTGTCAAGACCTTTAATGGGGTACAGAACAAACAGACAAAGTATTCTGGTCAGAACTCTGATTTTTATATTTTGTTCGAGGAATTGTGTGCTTGGGTATTCTTGTATGATCGGTGACTTTCAACGGGGTTTTATCATGACTCTTTTGTCCTCGTGCCAAATGAAGGAGCTTCTTTTAGACAAACCAAACTCAGACATCAAAAATCACCAAACTCAGACATCAAAAACCAAATCATTTACCAAACAGCACCCTCATAAAAATCACCAAACTCAACCACAAGATCAAAATACAAAAGATCCAAATATCTAACATCAAAAACCAAATCATTTACCAATAATCTTTTAGAGGCTGGAGGCGGAGAGCGAGCTGGGCTGCTGGATCGAGACCGCTGGTGCTGGAGCTGGAGACGGACGGGGCTGCTGGTGCTGGAGCTAGAGGCGGAGAGCTACTCTACCAAAAATCTTTTAGAGGCTGGAGGCGGACTGGCGGAGAGCTACTCTGGATGGAGAAATGAGAAGAATGTTACGTTAGGTTAGGGTTGCAAAACTTGTAATTAGGATTTTTTTTTTTTTTTAAAACTTGACAGGGCGGGTTCGGGGCGGGGTGACCCGAGACGGGGCAACACTCCCCGCCCCGCCCCGCCCCATCAACCCATCGGGGCGGGGCGGGGAAAACTGCCATCCCTAGCATTAAGAGCTTTAATTTTTTTGTAAATTTGAATATAAAATATTTGGTTCTCTATTTTAGAGCCTTAAATCACATTATGACACATTGAATTTTGAAATTTTGATTTTCAGGTAGCAAGAATTCTTTTGTTTGTCTACTTTTTCTACCACATGTTCATCCATTTTGATCAGGTGAGTGATTGTTCGTTCTCTGATTAATTCCATGAGCTAGACCTGTAATATAGACTAGGGCTTGCTTTTCCAACTCTTAAATTTAAAAGATTTGTATACATTTTTGGACCTCCAAAAGATTCTAATTTGACAAATTACCAAGCTTGGTGTCCTGGTCGAATTAAGATTACCATCAGCTCTTATTTATTTTTTTAATTTCAACAATCCACCATAGTTCGGAATTTCTGTCATCTATTAAATATTTTGATATGACACGTTACATGGACCCTGTACTTGTGACATATGGATGTGTGTCCAAGTGCATTCAGTTTTCACAAACATCTACACTTCCATACACAAAATGCTTAAAATAGAAAGATCCGTCTTTCACCCCTGCCAACTATGAAGTGTTCAACATGGGCGCTTGAATGTACGAATTGAAGAATCTATTTGATATAAGCGTCAATGTAACAAAGTATTTGACAACACTGCACAAGAGTTTTAGACTTTTTTTTTTCCTTAACATACCCTGTAGTGCCGAGTCTTACCTTATCAAACATGCTATAAGTGTCCAATGTCTCCCTAGTCTCTCTCTTTATCTCTTTTGAACTACCATATACGAAGAGCAAGTGTGCGCCAAGCCTCTTGAAGCCACAAAAGCAGCTTAACTATTGAAGTGCAACAAGACACACAGAACCAATAACTTCGTCAGGACAAATATATTGCTCTTTAATTTCGGATCATAACGATCAACTCTTTTGTTCGTCTATTTATTTATTTTTTCTTTCAGGTGAAGGAAGTGTACCCCTTGGGCTTCTACAGCTTGCTTACTGTATCCCCGGTGTTGTCATTAATGAACATATTCTGGTTTTGGAAAATCGCAAAAGGCTTGGTAAAAACCTTGAAGAAGGCAGGGCACAATGAGTAGTAGAGTCATAGTACTTAGTAGAATAACTGCTTTTGGATTTCACATCAAGGTACATTAATTCTTTGTCACACTTCTAATTCATCACTGACAAGTATAATGTGGTAAGATATGCTTGTTGATTATTATTTGGCTCAGCTTGGTATTTAAACTTATTATTGGTTGCCGTATGGTTGTATGAATTCAGGTTATGAGAAATGTCTAAACCAAACAAAACCACTTTATTAATGAAAAAGTAGTGGTTGGGTTGGGGGGGAGGGGGAGCTTGTGCTATTTTCATGTTTCTGGATTCAATCTTTGGCCTCAATCTGATGAAGGAAGATGCAACCACTTATGTAGCTATAGGAGAAGCACAATCAAAGTCTTTTATCACCTAGAATCACATTTGAGAATCTACTTCTTTATTGTTCAATGACCTTGCCAAACATGAAATCATGTAATTGTAGCTTTTGGATGATAAGTTACGAAAAATTGGGTTACTACCATGGAGAGAGTTTGTGGGTACATGATGTAGGAACAACCACATGACGAATGAATTGTCCAAATGGTCACTGAACTTTGTAAAAGTTTTTCAAGGGGTCATTGAATTTTAAAAATCAACTAAATGATTACTGAACTTTGCAAAAGGTTTCTACGGAGCCACTGAACTTTAAAAATCACATAAATATTCACTAAACTTTGCAAAAAGTTTCCCAGGGATCACTGGTTTTGCAAAGTTTGGTGACCATTTAGATGATTTTTAAAATTTAGTGACCCCATAAAATTTTTTTGCAAAGTTCAGTGATCATTTAGGTGATTTTTAAAGTTCAGCGACCCGTTGAAAACTTTTTACAAAGTTTAATGACCATTTGGACAATTCACTCGCCACATGGCAGTTTCAAAAGGGTAGTTCTATTAATGTGATTGTAAGAATTCGCATGATCGCATCAAAGCAAGCACGTGTTTTAGAATGACCATCGTTGAATATGGGACTACTTGATCCATTATGAGTTGTGGTTAACCGTGGTTCTAGAAGGATTAATTGGACGATTCAACATTTTTTTTTTTTTTTCCATAAATAAGTTGAACTATGTTGTGAAGTTATATTCATTGAGTGTGTTTAGTTTACTAACTAGTTTTGAAGGTGAGTTTTCTCCCATAACGAACTTGTTCATATCCATCAGTGTGAGGAACGTCGATAAAATAAGATATGAGATCGGGAAACATATATCAAAGAAAAATGCCAATATAATGCCCACAATTCCCCATGCAGTTTTGTATTTTCCATTCTCTTTCAATGTTTCTTTTTTGAGTAATGGTACTTGTACATAATAGTGTACAGATTGATGATGTGAATAACATTAACTGATTTCATTTCATTATCTCTCTCTCTCTCTCTCTCCCCCCCCCCCCCCCTCCCCCATCATCAATTTGTACACAATTATGTACAAATATCATTCTTCTTCTTTTTTTGTTCCTACAGGCTGACATTTAATCCTATGACTTCCATCAAATTCCAAAATTTTGCAGCGGTTTAATGTCTAAACAACTTTGATTGCTTCCTTCAGCATATGAGGTTTTAATGGCAGAAATTAAAACCTTCTCTATAACTTCCGGGAATATGCACTGGGGAATATATTCACACCACTATTTGTTACAAATTATATTTTAACTATAATGATGGTCCTCAATTTTGATCACTTTTGCATGGCATAGCATTATTATAATTAACCATCAATTAATTAGCACAACTAAGAGTGACAATGGGCTAAATCGATCAATTCTGCTGTTATACACTCGAGCTTGGCTCATGTCCACGGATAATGCTTGGTTCGACACTTTGACTTGTGTGGACATGAGCCGAGCACAAGTTGCCTCATTTTTTTTTATTTAAAAACTAATAATATAAAGCCAGGAGTAAGTAAAAAACAAGTTGACTGACGAGTTTAAGATGAGCTGACTCGTGAAGAAGTTTTCAAGCTCGGCTTGACATATAGGTCGTCTTAATGGGAGTCTGAGCAGAGATGAGGGATGAGTGACTCGACCCATTTGCCACCTCTAGACACATGATCTCTTATGATGATATCTATTCAAATATTCCATTGATGTGCATAGAAATGACGCAAATATTTTGTCAACTTTTTATGTTTGTTACCCTGCTAATGAATATTTCGGAGAAAATTGTCATAAAAAGTGATGTACAGATTAATAAAGTTGAGGATACATTAGCATGAAACTACACAAGAGTCGAGGAGATTCATTACAATTAAAATATGACGTAATCAACAAAAACTGTGTTGTGAATATAATTACCAAAATGTACTATAGGTTTTGCACTACTTCCCGACAGGATTGGCTGGGCCGGTCCATTATACATATAAAGGGTTCTACCTTAACTATAGGATATGTAAGTGCTCATACTTTGGCCATCCATAGTCATTATTAAGAGGCAAGCTTTGGTAGCATTTGCTGGATTGAATTACAAACTTCATATTTCCACCACTTCAAATAACGAGCTCCACGATATAATACTTGGTGGTGTCATTGTATGATTGGAGAAGTATCTGAAAGTTATGCGAAAGAGGAGAAGAAAAATGATGGAAACACCATCTTAATGGTGGTTAAATAAATAAAGGAAAAATTGCAGTAGCGGTCCCCAACCCTTTAATTTTTAGTGAATTTTACCTTAACCTTCAATTTGAAACAATTTTGACCAGAATAAGGAGGGTAAAATTGTAACTTGATAATTATCATATTAAATAAATTGAACCAAAAAAATCAGGAAAAAATAAAAAAAATTAGAAAAAGAAATTAAAAAAGGGTTGTCTTCTTCAACCTCCCCACCCCAATTCATGCCGTCCAACCCTTCTTTTCAACCACCAACACCGCCACCTATCACTAGTACCACCGCTAGAAGACCAATCACACACCACTATCAGCAACATCTCCTTTTAACGCCCATTGCCAAAAATCCAATTATAAACCCATCGTCCTTACACTGAATCAGTTTTTACTGGCTATTGTAAAATTATATTACAAAACTGAACAAATTTCTCCAAAACCTCAGGATCTTTCACCAATTTTTTATTGCCCATGGCTACAATAAGCAATAATAAAAGCCTAGCATCGATTGAGACTAAGAACTTGCCGTTTCCTTCGTAAATAAAATCGGCTTTGAAGCTAGAATGAAGATTTTTTTTTTGGTGTGATTTCCAGCTTCAAAATTATTATGATCAACCGATCAATTTACAAAAATGTTGAGGCATTGTTTTTGGTTTTGGGCGTAGGTTTTATGGTGGAGGTGGGTGTTCATTGTGCAGCTCTTGCGCAATGGTTGGGTGGGGTTTTTGGTGTATGTTTGATGGTGTTGGTTGTTCATTGAGCAGGTCTTGCGCAATGTGGGATGGGGTTGGTGGTTGTAGTGGCAGTTGGTTCTGGGTGGCTGTGGCTGATCGATAGGAGGTGGTGTCGACATTGATGGTTGTTGTGGGGATGGTGCTAGGGTAGTGGTGGAAGTGGGGTGTTTGGTAGAGATAACATTTTTTTATTAATTTTTTGGGATTAAATTACAATTTTACCCTTTTTATTTTGGTCAAAATTTACTTTTTTTGGTTAACTAACGATCAAATAGATAGAAACTGTCCATTTGGACATCTGCTGCATATTTTTAAAAGGTTAGGAACCTTCACTGGCACAAATTAAATATTAGGGTAAAGTCTGCAAAAAAGTGAAAGGTTAGGGACCGCTGTTACATTTTTCTCATATATAAATGTCCCTCTTTCCCATGCAAAACGTTATATGTTCAAATCTTGACATAACCTCTTATGAAAATTTTAGGTGTACAAGTAGAATTATCCTTGATGAAAAATGAATGAGGCTGACACATCAAATGAGGTATTGAAGACAAAATTTGAATGAATAAATATATTCCCATTCAACGATCTTAAGCTTTTAGATATAACATTTCAACATCACCTTTACTCAGATGTGAACAATTGCTCAAGTTGACGTATAAATCATAACTGAAGTTCGAGCATTATTCAATTACTAAACTCTTGTTTGGTAGAGATTAAAATCAAATTTTTAGCATTTTTTTTAAAAGTTGATGAAATGTGTGGTTAAAAAGTTATGGGTCCTATGAAACTTGTGATTAAAATTAATTGTCGACTTTAATTTAGATTTTAATAAGATTTTTTTAGCAGTGCCAAACATGGGGATAAATGTGTGAAGAAAAATTAAATGGTGAATAACTAATAATGAAACAAATACCACAAGATTAAGAAGGCAATATTTGACTAGAATTTAGAGCTGCTGTTCAACTGATTTCCTCAAAATGGAATAGTCATGAGCAATCAAAAGGCATGTTCATGTAAATGTATAGAGTAAAAGGTTCTCCTACGAATTTCTTTAAGATATTGAACAGACTTACTCAAATGAATCAATTAAAGTTACACAAGCTCAATGTAAGCCATTGGTGCATTGTCTCCTCGCCTTGGTAGAGTTCTAATTATCCTTGTATATCCTCCATTTTTGTCCCCATATCTCTCTTTGACCTCTGCAAACAATGCATGCACACATGGCCGGAGCCAAAGCGTATCCAATGCGGGCAGATGCCCGCACTGGACTTTTGGGCAGAATTAATTTTATTATTATTATTATTATTTTTTAAAATTTGGTTTAACCCACTTCCCTGTCGAGCCCAAAAAAAGAAGCCCAATTAGACCCATTTTCTCAATATTCAATTGACCCAAACCCAGTCATTCATTTGAATCAATCCAACCTTTTGTCTATGAGTGAGAGACTTCGTCCTTGTTGCGGCGTCGCAGTTCTAGTTCGCATAGAGTATGGAAACTCGTGAGAAACAAGTGTAATATATAAATTATGTCGTTTTTAGTATTGTCGTACAATTGTTTTATTTTTTTATCGTCATTAAATCCATGACATAATCTCGGCATTCGGCGTTGAAAAAATTTTGCCCGCACTGAACTAAAAGCCTGGCTCCGCCCGTGCATGCACAATCTCCTTTTCATAGATAAAGCCGAGAGCTTGCCTTCTTTTACATAGAGAACCATCCTTTGCCAGAGTGACCATTTTGTCTACATACTTTCTCATTGCACTGGCCGTTGCTCTTATGGTCTTTAGGCGGCCATGCTTCAGGAGTTGAGTTGACAGACCACGCAGAAGAGCTTGACGCTAGTCAGGGGGCCTATTAAGTTTTGGCACCCTCTTCCCATGGCTCATGGGAAAGAATCGTCCTCCATTGTCAATCACACTAAAACAATGCTCAAAACTGGTTGAATCTGCAAGACACATTGCCATAATATTTTGTGAGAAAGAAAGGAGCAGGGAGGCGGGCGCCATGGCGCCCAAGAGAAAGAAAAGAGCAGGGATGGCGCCCAAGAGAAAGAAAGGAGCAAGGAGGCGGGTGCCATGGCCCCATGAGTGGGCGCTATGGTGCCCAAGTTTCTGCACGAACTTGGTGCCATGGCTCCCGACTCAGCTATATATATAGCTGTTTTTTCCTTTCATTGTAGATCCGATTTTAGAGAGAAAAATAGAAGAGAGGGCTTGGAGAGAATTTAACAAGTAAGAGGTTATTTTTCTTGGGTATAAATTCAAAGCTATTTTTTCTTTCTTGGGGATTAACTTGAGGCTTGTTCAAGTAATCCAAATCCATTGTTCTTCATTTATATTGAAAATCATTTCTTCCCCAATTTCTTATCTTTGAAGTGGTTTGGGATTTTTCACATTGCAAGTTATCTTTCTTGGGCAATCTTGGGAATTGTTTTTCCCCAACAATTTGGTATCAGAGCTTCTTCTTAAATTAGGGTGGTTAAGCTCCGATTTTTGGTGGGTGGCTTGAACTTTGTTGTGCACACAAGATGTTTGTGAAAATTCCCAAATGAACTTTGCTGGTTTATTTTCGGTAAACAAGTAGATAAATCATGTCTACTAGAGGAACGGTGAAGATTAGGAAGTATGAGATAGAGAAATTCAATGGGAAGAATGACTTTTCGTATTGGAGAATGCAAATGAAAAATTTGTTAATTTCTCAAAAGTTGCACAAGGTATTGGCGAGAAAGGAGAATAAGCACATAGATATGTTTGACGAGAATTGGGAAGAGCTAGATCTTGAGGCACGAGCGTCTATCATTCTATGCCTTGAAAGAGATGTTGCTTTCTTGGTTTATGGTGAGGAAACGGCGGCGGATGTGTAGACAAAGTTGGAGGCGAACTTCATGACGAAGACTCTAACAAACCGGATCTATTTGAAGTCCAAATTGTATACTTGCAAGATGGATGAAGGTACACCAATCCGAGAGTACGTCAACAAGTTTGATAGGTGTATATCGGACTTGAAGGACATTGATGTGAAAGTAGATGATGAGGATCAAGCACTTCTACTACTTCTTTCATTGCCAAAGTCTTACGAGAACCTAGTACAAACATTGATGCTTGTGGGTGGTAAACTTGTGATGGAGGACACTAGAACGTCACTTCTAGCGGATGATCTTCGAAAGATTGCAATTAATGGCATGTCTACCATTGGTAACAAGGAGCAAGCTCAAGGATTATTTGTAAGAGGTAGAAGCAATGTGCGATCAAAGGGTAAGAGAGAAAAATCTAGATCGAGGTCTAGACCTCTTGCAGAAAGGCCTTGTTTCAAATGCAGCGAACTTGGGCATTTCAAGGTGAATTGTACTAACAAAAAGGGTTGGAAGAAGAACAATAAGAACAACAACAACGGGAAGGTGTAAGTCAAGCAAGAGGTTAGCTATGTCTCGAAAGGAGGGGAAAGCGATGAGTGCTACACCATCACTTGTGATGAAGAAATCTCCGGTAAGTGGATTCTTGACTCTGGATGCTCTTACCATATGTGTCCAAATAGGAAGTAGTTTACTAAATATAGAAGGACTGATGGTGGAACCGTGTTGATGGGTAAAACCATTCCTGAAAAATGGTGGGGCTCGGTTCAATTAGAATCAAGATGTGTGATGGAGTGGTTAGAACATTGATGGATGTTAGACATGTTCTTAATTTGCGGAAGAACCTTATCTCTGTTGGTGCTTTAGACTCCGGTGGTTGCAAGATTGTAACATGGAATGGAGTAAAGAAGGTTGTTCGTGGTTCTTTGATTGTGATGAAGGATATCCACGAAGGCAATCTCTATGCTCTTTAGGGTACTACAGTTACAGAAGATGTAGCGATTGGAACAAGTGGAAGTGGTGGAGACCCATGTGAGTGCACTCGGCTATGGCATAGGAGGCTTGGGCATATGTCTGAAAAGGGGCTCGATCTGCTAGTCAAGAAAGGTTTGCTAAAGAACTTGAAGAAGCCTTGCATGGATTTTTGCGAGCATTGCGTGTACGGTAAAGCACACTGAATTCAGTTCCAGCCAAGGAAAAATAGAAGCAGAGATATTCTAGACTATGTGCACACGGATGTATGGGGTCCGGCTTCTGTCACTTCCAAAGGCGGTTCCAGGTATTTTGTCACATTTCTTGATGATTATTCTAGATATGCTTGGATTTATTTTTTGAAGCATAAGAATGAGGTATTCGATACTTTCAAGAAGTGGAAAGCAATGGTTGAAAACAGAACATGAAAGAAATTGAAGACACTGCCATTTGATAATGGTACTGAGTATACAGATGGTGCTTTCAAGGAGTTCTGTGGTAAGGAAGGCATTGTGAGACACTGGACAGTTAGGAATACACCACAACAGAATGGGATCGCAGAAAGACTGAATCGCACATTTCGAGAGAAATCGATGTGTATGCAATCCTATGTTGGTTTGGGCAGAGAATGGTGGGCAGAGTCGATTGCAAATACTTGCTACATAGTGAACCGATCTCCACATTCAAAGTTAGATGGAGATCTACCTTACAGGGTATTGACAGGAGAACATGCAGGTTATGAGAAACTCAGAATATTCGGATGCACATCCTACCATCACGTCAACGAGGGAAAGTTTGATGTAAGGGTCTAGAAAGCTATATTCTTGGGGTATGCGGCAGGTGTAAAAGGCTATCGCCTATGGTGTGTAGAGGATTCTAAGTTCATAATCAGCAGAGATGTTACTTTTGATGAGAACTCCATGATAGCTTCGTTGAAAGCTACAGTGCCCGGTGGTGATGATGTTGAGACTACAAAGTCTCAAGTTGTTGACATAGAACATAGAGATCAACCTGGTTCTAGTCATGTTCAAGAGGAGCATCATGCAGACACTCTAGATGAGAGTGATGATGAGTTTGAACAAGAGGCGATTCAGCAAGAGAATGTACAGGCACAGCAACAACAGCACCTTGCAAATAACTTGGCTTCCTCTAGGCCATGGCGTACTCACAAGCAAGTTCTAAAGTTGGGGTCAGACGAGCCTTTGAGGCACTCTCGGTGGAGGATGATGAGCCTGCCTCTTTCAAGGAAGCTATTTTAAACAACAATAGTGAGAGTTGGTTAGCAGCGATGGAAGAAGAGATGGAATCACTTCACAAGAACCAAACATGGGAGGTTATCCCATTGCCCATAGGTAAGAAAGCTATTGGTTGCAAGTGGTTGTACAAAAAGAAAGAGGATCCTACCAAGCTCGGTGGTACAAGATTCAAAGCAAGGTTAGTGGCTAAGGGGTTTGCACAAAGAGAGGGAGTTGACTACAATGAGATCTTTTCTCCGGTGGTCAAGCATACTTTCATTCGGGGTGCTATTGAGTATTGTTGCTCATCATGATCTTGAGCTGGAACAACTCGATGTCAAAACCACCTTCTTGCACGGGGACTTGGATGAGAAAATCTATATGCACCAACCTAAGTGCTACAAGGTTGAGGATAAAGAACGTCAGGTATGTCGCTTGAGAAAATCACTATATGGATTGAAACAATCTCCTCGGCAGTGGTACAAGCGATTTGACTCCTTCATGCTAAAGCATGATTTCTCCAGAAGTGAGTATGATTGTTGTGTTTATATTCGAAAACTTCGGGGAGGTAACTATATCTATCTTCTTTTGTGTGTGGATGACATGCTTATCGCTTCGAAAAGCAAGGTGGAGATAGATAGGTTGAAATCTCAACTTGGTAAAGAGTTTGAGATGAAGGATATGGGGGCTGCTAGGAAAATACTGGGTATGGAGATTAGAAGAGAGAGGACGAACCGACGAATGTTCTTGAGTCAGAAAGGTTAAATTGAGTGGGTTATCGCTAGGTTCGGGTTGCAAGGTACAAAGTGGGTGGTGACTCCATTGGCTCCACATTTCAGGCTCTCTGGTAAGCAATCTCCTACTACAGCGAAAGAAAAGGTACTCATGGATCGTGCACCTTATGCTAGTGCAGTTGGCAGTTTGATGTATGTCATGGTGTGTACACGCCCAGATATTTTAGAGGCGGTTAGTGTGGTCAGTAGATTCATGGCGAATCCGGGGAAGGCACACTGGGAAGCTGTGAAGTGGATCCTGAGGTACTTAAAAGGTACCGCGGATACGGGTTTATGTTTTGGTGGAGATGTATGTCATATAAGTGGGTTTGTGGACTTGAATTATGCAGGTGATCTAGATAGACGACGATCTACTACTGGATATGTGTTTTGCATACATGATGCCCCAGTTAGTTGGCGATCAATGTTACAGGCTACAGTGGCTCTTTCTACTACAGAGGCCGAGTATATGGCCATGGCAGAGGGAGTAAAGGAAGCATTGTGGTTGTGGGGTCTTCTAGATGATTTGGGGATTGAGCAGGATTGTGTGGACTTGTGGTGTGATAGCCAAAGTGCAATTCATTTGACTAAGAATCAGGTTCATCATGCTCGAACCAAGCATATCGACGTCAAGTATCATTTTGTGCATGATGTCATAGAAGAAGGTGATATTTCTCTCTTGAAGGTACACACAAATGAGAACCCAACAGACATGTTAACCAAAGTGGTAACGGGTAGCAAGTCTTAGTATTGCTTGGACTTGCTTCACATTAGTCTGTGCTGATATGCTAGAGTGGGCACAACCCTTCAGGGCGGGATTGAAATGAGGTGAAGAGTATATGAAGGTGGAGGTGAACTACGGAGGCTTGATCCCTAGTTTTGGGTACGTAGGCAACCATGGTTTGAATGGTGCAGCCGAGTTTGGCACTTGCTGCTTCTTCTTGTGTTTGTCCAAAATTTGAGGTCTATCAAATGATGTACGAGGTGGAGAATTGTGAGAAAGAAAGGAGTAGGGAGGCGGGCGCCATGGTGCCCAAGTTTCTGCTCGAACTTGGCGCCCGACTCAGCTATATATATAGCTGTTTTTTCCCTTCATTGTAGATCCGATTTTAGAGAGAAAAATAGAAGAGAGGGCTTGGAGAGAATTTAACAAGTAAAGGTTGTTTTTCTTGGGTATAAATTCAAAGCTATTTTTTCTTTCTTGGGGATTAACTTGAGGCTTGATCAAGTAATCCAAATCCATTGTTCTTCATTTATATTGAAAATCATTTCTTCCCCAATTTCTTATCTTTGAAGTGGCTTGGATTTTTCAAATTGCAAGTTATCTTTCTTGGGAAATCTTGGGAATTGTTTTTCCCCAACACATTTAATCTTACGGATCACTATTACGAAGGAAGACCACCCGAGCATATTTGGTATAGAGTATTGAATGCCGCTGACAGCATAATGAACAAGAGTTAGCTTCTTTTTCTTCCCTAATAATATATATATATATATAATGTTATCCAATTCTCCGTATCAAACATGTTGAAAAAGTACTACTATACAATTCTCCCCAGAAAACATATTATAAAAGTACTTACATTCTAACAATGTTACAGTATTCAATCTTAAATCTCCTCGTTTTCATATTTTAAACAAATGTAACAATAGAAGTTTTGCAAAGTTGATTAAGAATTGGGTTTGTACTTGAATTCAATTTGAAGTTACGAGGTCAAGCAGATGGGTAACTGAAGGCATGGGCTTGTGCACATCGTATATATGTGCATGCTCTATCTAAAGGCCATCTCGCTTCCCAGTAACCTCTTTTGAAATTCAATCTCCCACCAATGAACCAGAGAGATCCATGGCCTAGCTTCTCAATGGGGCGAGGATAGGTAGAAGCAAGCACTACAAAGGAAAAGTTCCCTTTCCAAATTCGTAGTCCCAACTACAAACCCTAGAGGTCTGTCTTTCTGATTGCAAGGATTTCAAATTCTGTAGTCCATCGAAACAACCACAATATGAACCATTCCATCTTACCACATTTCCCACAGTAATTTTCTTAAGAACACTGTTTCCACAGTAAGATTCTATCTCGTTCTGTTATCAGCATAGAAGTCAAAACGCATTCCTTTAAATATACGCTTGAATCAATTATGTCATTTGAGAATGAGTATTGAATACAATGCACATATTTTCACAGCAACAAAAAGATGAAAATGGCAACTAATAAGAACCATAACCATATATGTGGAGAAATTATGGCACAATGATGATAGACTGGTTCATTTCAGTAGCTGGGCTTGTGGGCTGGGTTCTCCATTGATAATTCATGTTGTCCATTATCTTGGCACAAATGTGTTGCTGAAAACACGATTTTTTGAAGAAGAACGGATGCTTCAGATCTTGCCAAGTGTTCTCTTCTACACCGTTGGATGAAGGGCTTCTAGTGGCTTCGATATTTAATCGACCCTAGGGTTTCTGATTGAGAGACTCATCAGATTTCTCTCTGCCTCTCGAACTCCCTCCGTGGCTCCTTGTGTTCTCTCTACTGCACTCTTTCATTTTAGCCCATTTATGATGAAAAATCACCGACCTTTTATAGATCTTGAATGATTGATGTATAGGCTTTGATCCTTCATTCTTGAGTGAATGTTGTAATGATTTGTCAGGCTTATTTTGGGGAAATCTTGCGTGACTTCTATTGAGTGCCAAGAGATCTATACTGGACCGTTCGGTTTTGATGATTTCAGTGATATAGTGATTTTCTTCCAATTTGACGGAAGCTCAAAAGGGGATTAGGAATGAAGTTCCGAACCTCTTGTCTTAGGGTGAAAATCCTGGGTTCTTCTTTATGTTTTCTGCTATTACTCTTTATTTTCAGTTTTTTATGGTTTATTACCTTCGGTATTTTTGTTGATTAAGTGGGCTGTCTTTTGTGAACTTCTTGTTACAATATCCACAAGAAACATGAATAATATAAGCATACAGATCCAGGCGATTCTTATAAAGCATCTTTAGTATATGAAAGGGGAATTGGACCCTGTTGCAATAAGCACGCCAACCGAAAATTTAATTAAAAATATCATCAATTACCACCGCATAATGATACCAAATAAGAAGCACAAAGGCAACGCAACAGCAGGAAGACCAACCATCAAAAGGTCTGAAATCTCATTACACATGACGAGTCATGTATCAATCACACTATATTTTTGATAGTACAAATACAAAATCAAATCACACACAGACATTCATTAACAAATGTGATATACGCCCACGTAAATGTGGAACAGAATTGAAAAAAAAATGTACCTTGTAATGAGAGCGAGAGAAGGGGATAAATGGGGGCGAGACCCACAAAAGAGTTAAGAAGTCTTGAGCTGGGTTTTGGCCTGGAAAGCTTGAAACGAGAAGACTAGGACCCAATTGAGAAATAAACTGAAGAAGAAGGGGTGAATTGAAGGGAGGGCTGATCTCAGAGATGACTTATTCCATGTCGAAGTGGTAGCACAAGACATTTTTGCACTTTCTCGCTCTGCTCTTTGTGATCTTGCATATGGCTATGGAGTGGAGAGGAGAGGAAATGGTGGCATATAGCAACAAAAAACATACAATTTTTCAAAATGGCCGTTGACTACTGTTTAAAAAAAAAAAATCAAAAATTTGTCAAAATCTTAAAAACATTGAAAACCCAAAATTGCCCCTGACATTTTCACTCTCAAACCGACGTCTGGAGAAAGAAGAGGAAGAAAAAACATGGAAATCGACAAGTTTTTCTTGGGAGGTGACCGATCGGCCACCATTAGAAACGAAGAAAGTAAGTTTTGCATAATTTTTCCCTCATTAATCTATGTTAAAGGTTTATTTTGTTGAAAATAGTGGAAGAAATCTTTATAGAATATGTAAAATTGGTAAAAACTAAGTTTTTTTAAGGTTTGGTGGCCGGAGATCGTTGGAAATGGCGATCTACGGGCAGAGAGACGACCTCTGCAAGAGGAAAAAGACGGTTGTGCCGTCTGTTAAGACAGCCCAGGCCATCTGTTTGTTATTGTTGTTAAATTATCTTTAAATAATTATTTAATTATTAATTAAATGATAAAAAAAATATAAATAATGAATAAATGTTAATAATCAAAATAAGCAATTAAAATTTAATTACAGATTAATTGAAAGAAATTTCTAACCTTTTAAATAAATAATTAAATATTTACCTTTGCTTGTTCAATAAATAATTTAAATAATCAAATAATTTCAATGAACAATTGAAATGAAAAACCATTGGAATAAATAATTAATTTCTCACAAAAATAAATAATGAACATTTAAATAATAATTAAATGATTATCTAAATGATAAATAAATAAATTTTATTAATCAAAATACGCAATTAAAATTTAATTGATACACATTTCTAACATTTGAATTAAATAATTACGTTTGTTTGTTCAATAAATAATTTAAATAATCTTTCCATATAAGTAATTAAATCAAATAATTTAAATGAACAATTGAAACAAATAATGAAAATCAATTTGAATAAATAATTAATTGAAATGCACAAAAATAAATAATGAACATTTAAATAATAATTACATGATTATTTAAATGATAAATGAGTAAATGTAAATATTGAAAATATTAATTAAAGTTTAATTGAAATAAATTTCTAACATTTGAAATGAATAATTAAATATTTACCTTTGCTTGTTCAATAAATACTTTAAATAATCGATTCATATAAGTAATTAAATCAAATAATTTAAATGAACAATTGAAACAAATAAATAAAAAATAATTGGAATAAATAATTAATTGAAACGCACAAAAATAAATAATGAACATTTAAATAATAATTAAATAATTATTTAAATGATAATTGAATAAATGTTAATAATCAAAATATTAATTAATGTTTAATTGAAATAAATTTCTAACATTTCAAATGAATAATTAAATATTTGCCTTTGCTTGTTCAATAAATAATGTAAATAATTGATCAATATAAGTAATTAAATCAAATAATTTAAATGAACAATTAAAACAATTAAATGAAAAATAATTGGATAAAAATAATCAAAATAAGTAATTAAAATGTAGATAAACAATTGAAATAAATAGCTAACATTTAAAATAAATAATTAAATATTCGCTTAATAATTAAAATAAATATTGAATAAACAACTAAAGAAAAATATAACAAATAATTACATATTTACGTTTAAATGTTCAATAAATAATTTAAATAAAATAATTAAATATTCAATTATAATAAATAATTAAAATTAAGCATTCAATAAAAAATTAAAATAAATGTTAAATAAACAAATAAACAATCGGAATAAATAATTTCGATAAAAAATTGAAATAAATAATTAACATTTAAATAAAAATAAATTTAAATAAGTAAGAAATACAAATTTTCAAAATAATTTATATGTAATTAAATATAAATAATCAAATTTAATTAAATAAACAATTGAAATAAATTTCTAACATGGATTAAAATAAACTGTGAAATAAATAATTTTATGAAAATTAGTTTTTCCATTTTTTATAAGTTGTTGTGTGTAATTTTTAATATTTTCTTTATTATCTGTTATTTCGTGCGTATATTACTTACAGTTCAGTTAGTTGAATTTTGTGACATTATGTTTCAAATGTTGTAACATTTGAAATTTTGCAGGATGGATGACCGTTTGGACGCAGCCTTGAGACATGTTCCTAGAAAAGTTACGTCGAACGGTAACTTTACTAGCTTCACAGTAGTGTTGAATTCACTGGACGAGGAGCACGCGTAGATATTACGTCGATCCTGCCTATGACCCCTGTATTCACTGCGATCTAAACAGTTCTCTGGACAGTTGATCGATTCATTACTGTGTTAGTTACTTAATCCAGTTGACGGAGATGCCCTCCACTTTGATCTTGGGGGCAATGTTGCTACATTTTCTATATTCGAGTTTGCCCTCATCACTGGATTGAGATGTATGGGCGAAGAGGTAGCGAGGGCCAGTATTTCGATAGACAAGAGGTTGCCGAATGATTATTTTAATGGGCACACGACAGTGACATTGGCGCAGTTAGGAGATGCATTCAGGGGATGCGACCAGATGTCCGACAAGTTGAAGTTGGGGATGTTGTTTATACTAGAGAGCGTACTGAGGTGTCATCACAGGAAGAAATCGATTAACGTTTTTCATTTGCAAGTTGTTGATGACATCGATACGTTCAACAGCTATCCGTTGGGGGAGGGGGGAGATGCTTTTACGATACTTTACATGTCTTTAGGAGGGGGCATTCAATGCCAGGTCGGAGCGTAAGTACGATCTATATGTCTTGCCGTTAGCTTTGCAGGTAAATGTTTAACATAATGCATAATGCGTTATCCATTTTTTTATTAAATTGTACATATAATAATCGTAGTTGTTGTAGATATGGGTCTACAAGACTATTCCCATCCTGGCTGGTCGGTATGCGAGGAGAGGGGATACATGCATCCCTCGGATGCACCACTGGCGAGGACGAGACAAGCCCCTTGCAAAACAGCAATCAGTTATCCTAAACGATCCTCATGTACGTATTATATATTTGCGCTTTCTGTTGTATGTCATTTTCGAAGCTGGATACATGGTCAGTAATTCGATGAAATGTCAATATGTCAGGTTGAAGTTCTCATTGAGCTGACACCATCGATCGAGAAGGAGGATCAGACGGGGTATGTTGACTCGTTGTGGGCATTGGATGATGCATTAGCTTCATATCTCGATGACCGATAGATATGGAGTTGGAAATGGAGGATCAGGCCCCGATGCATTAGCTTCAACATTCCTGGCTGACTCATATTGAACACTGAATTCATACGTGCCGTTGATATTGAGTACCAGACGTTGCAAGCTATGGGTAGCGAGTACACGGTGCCTACATACATGATGGAGTGGGTCATAGGGATGTGGCTGTGGGAGGGTTGTACACATCTGTACATTCCGGTATGTGTCAATCATCACTACATTGCTGTGGAGATTGTATTTGCTGACTCGACTATGTATGTGTATGACCCCGATCATTCATTCCTGACACAAGGTCAGCTCGAGCAAAATTTGGAGTCGGTGTCTGTGATCGTCCCCATGCTGGCTAGACAAGTGAACATTACTGTGCAGGATATACTAGCCATCGTGCGGGACACGAAGACGGCGAGACAGCAAATATCGTAAGTGTTTATTATTTTATTTTTGTAATTTACAACTTACGTTATAGTTAGTTATAGTTAGACAGTGATGTGCTAATACAATATTTTGTAATTGTAGGGGTGATTGCGGCATATTCGCTATCAAATATATAGAATTTTTGAGTGTAGCACAGAAGGTTGATGCAATCAACCAGGTGTGGATACAAAATTAGAGAAATAAATTAGTTTGTGATTTATTTGAATTTAATGGTGATCCGTAGATATTGAGCTGTGTTTCTTTAAAATAACTGTACATATTGTAACGTTTAAATATTATATATTTCATTCATTCATTCATAATTATGAAATAATTGTAAAACATATATTATTTTTGTAATATTTAATTTTTTTAGTTTATGTGTTTATTTAAATGTTTCATGACGTATTTATAATATTTGGGTATATTGTGGAGAAGACACTGAGCTTTAAAAAAGGATTAACTTCAAATATTACGTAACTAATTAATGAAATATTAAAATAAAAAAACTAAATCTAATAATTAACATAAATAATTAACATTAAGAATATGCGTGAATAATTACTATCAATGTTATAAATAATATTACATAAATTTCAATTATACATCTGTTATGTTGTCATGCAGAGAGATCTGACTTGTACAAAATCTTCTAGTATGTCCTGTTGCACCGCACCTGCCGCACTTACGAGGCCGGGGAAATTCTCTGATCGATGGTATTCTAGACGTACGTGTACGTCCAGGAGTACGTGGACCGACTGTTGGTGGCAACAAGTTATTCAATGAGAGAATGAGATCAGGAACTTCTCACTCGGCTTCATTTGGTACAGGAAATATGGTTAGGCATATGCTGCTTTCCAAGAACTAGTCGTGTAAAAAGTACTGCATAAGGTGCGCGGTGGAAGTACTCTATACATAGCCACTGCTACTGCATGTGTGCACAAAAAACTCTCAAACTGAAACTGTCTACACGTGCACGTGTTATCATTCAAGTCGACGATGTATCTGAAATTACGTGCACATCTCGCGGGGAAGCAAAACTGATCCAGTGATTCTACATATACCTTCCTTGCCACCTCTAGAGTCTTGAAGAGTTTATCTTCCTGAGTCGGGGTTAGCACACTTGTGCAACTCTGTGATTCCTCACGACGATCATAAAACCACTATTGTAGCTTGTCATGAATGTTCTCAAGCATTGAAAAATTGGTAACTCTCGATCCTTCTTAAATAAGGCATTGAGCGACTCCGCATTGTTTGACGTCATCATGTTGTATCGACGTCCTGAAAAATGTGATCGTGCCCAATGTTTGATTCCCATCTCTGTCACATACTCCCATGCATTATAGGATTTACTTTCGATTTCAACCA